CCATGCTGATTGAAGTTTCTGGGAGTTGTAGCATAGGAATATCTGGGCCGCTGTATGTTCCAAAGCCTTGATATAACCAAATCGTGAGACAGAAGCTGCATGGATAATGGCAGTCATGAATCAGGGCATAGATGGAATGAATTAAGTAAACTTTGCCTGATAGATGACAAAGAAGCAGGGAAGACCATTGGAAAACTAAATGGGGGGCAAATGTGTGTGGGGAGATGGCAGAGGAGAAAAAGTAGTATTGGTGGTGAAAAGGTAAGGCAAAGGTAATAGTGAACAAAAGCCTCTTTGTGCAAGCAGCATCATTTCACCAGTCCTTTCTCTCTAGCCACTGCATCATGGGAGGTTTATATCATGACACGCAGCCCAATCGTAATTCACCCTGAGCCCTTTGTCTTCATCAGCCAATGTCAAAGCCTCCCCATATTCATGCTTTACTATACTTCATGATTGCCAAGAATATCATCACTCACCAGTGGGTGAAAGAAACAAATTCCTTGTCCAACATGTTTGCCCATTTTCTTAGTCCAGATTTTCATGATGGATGGTTTGGATAGCTTTGGGCTTCATAGCTTTCTAATAGTATAGAATATACCAGTATAGAATATTCTTTCTACTGCCCCAGTTTCTGAGTCAATTTTTGGCATCAACCATGATTCCAAAACACTGCACTTTTGCAAATTACAGGCCAACCTATAATATATTGTATAGATATAGTATTATATAGTATATGCCTTTATAGTACTGAGAATCCCCTTCTTAGGTTACAATTTTTTAAAGTTAGATGCGGCAATGTAAGGAATGGATTCTGATCAGGATAACAGCAGCTATGATGGTTACATAATTCAAATTACTTTTTAGATTACAAAATAAGGAGATCTGATCATGCCCCCTTCCCTAATCATATTTTTTGCTTAGACTTTCAAGTGCCAGCTGTATTGGTACTGAAGAGGCAATATTCATCCAGCTGCAATCCATATTCCAAAGCCCTTTGAGATTTACTGATCCCATATTCCCGGTTCCTGCTGACCTTGTTTGTGTCACTTAGATCTATAGGTAGATCTAGAACTTGATCTCTCTGTATATATATGAAATACTCCCAAGCAAACACCATCCTGGTTTCTGATCCATATGAAATAAACCTGGGGCTTAGAATAAGGAGCCTTTTGAGAAATACATAGGAAGATGTGTGAGAGCATTTTCACAAGTGACACTTAAATCGTCTTTGTACATCTTGTTTCATGTGTACATTTGAAAACTATTTCTAGGCCTAAAAGCAAAAGTGAAAGATTGGATCATTAATATGATCCATATGATTCAGCATTCTGTTTCCAATATGGAATACCTGAAACATACAGCACATTTGGCAATTTTATTGGATATGACATTTAAAGATATGTTGCTTTGGCACATGAAGATTTTATTTAGCTAATCTTCCCCAACTTGGGAGCCTCTAGAAATGCAGACTTAGGTATAACCATTGCTGAGCATTCTAATGGTTGAAATGTATGCAACTTGAGGACACTCAGTTTAAATTTAGCCAGTATGATAAAAATTACCACTGGAAATGTTTGGATATCCCATTCTAATGGTTGTCCAATCCAGTTTCTCTGAAGGGCAACTTTTTCTAATCTTGTCAACATTCATTTATGCTCAATACAAATTTTGGGAATTGTAATCCAAATGATCTAGAGTGCACATATTTGGAGTAAGCTGCGTAAGTCCATTCAGTCTCATTTCCATATTGACCTGAAGCATTTTAGAATGCCCCAAATTGCAGTTTAATATTTAAACATGCATTTTTGTGCATATCTTAGTTTGGTGGAGGTTAGTAAATAACTTCATTGTAATAGTATAGCATTACTATGAAGGGATAACTTTGATTCTAACATTGCTCCCATAAAGTATGAATCAGGTCAGTGTACTTATATATACAGAACCTTCTTGTGTTTTGCAAGCTGTTCTTCAAACACTTTACATTTTTTTAAGGATGCAAAAGAGACAGAGAGAGAGAGATTGAGAGAGAAAGAGACTGAAGACTTGTGAAAATGCTCCACAAATAGATTCTGCAGTTTCCAGTGACAAAGGAGAGTCTATTGATTGAATGATTGACAAATGTATCACTGAGACTTTCATGAGACTGATTATGATATAGGGTCTACCAACTCTTAGCTATGTTAGGAGGAATTACATTTCACTCTTTTCAAACATTGGTAGAGTCTATTGCCATTTGAAACCCTTACCCTACATTTCCCCACCAGTTCTCATTTAGACTGATGAAAGAGAATTTGCTTTTGCTATTTCAAAGCAAAAGATGATCTTGAAGAAATTCTCAAGGGTGGTGTTCTTGCATTACTTTTTCCGTAATATTTGAGCCCATACTGTTCTTTCTTTACAAGCTAGCCAAGAGCTATATATGTACTCCTGGCTTTTTTTAACAAAACAAAACAAAATAAAACACAACAAAGCAATTTCTTCAGAGATCTCTGCCACCTCCCTTGTTTCTCATGCTTCCATTAAATCCCAAGGGAAAATACTAGAAGAGAACTCTTCCTATGGGCTTTTTCAGATGGAAAGCATAGGCAGACAGAGCAGGAAACTGCATCACAGAAAAAATGTCACCAGATATATTTTCATCCACTGAAAAGAGATTTATAATATGGAGGACATTATAACAATAGTTATAATAACTCCTACAATATAGGAGTCACTTTTCATTTAGGTGACCAATTCAAGTGCTGTAGACCTGTACATATCTTTATGACCATTTTATATTTCTTCCCAACTGCTAAAACATCCAGAATTCCAAGATTCAGTACAGGTAGAAAAATAGAGAGCCAGTTCCCAAAGGAAGGCAGATAAAGAACTATAGTTACACAAGTACTACTCAGAATGAGTTACAAATTGAGTATATCCCAGAAAATCTTAAATAATATTTAGGAAGTAGGCACTGTATCAATTGAGGCAGAACAAGAACACCCAAGATTAAACAAGACAAACCAGACTGATTTCAGTTTGGTACAATGTTGAAAGCTGGTATATTGTGGTGGTTAAAAATATGGGCTATAAACTGTAAGGTCCTGAATAAAGTCCCTATTTAGGCCTTGAGCCTCTTGCTGAAGTAAAGGCTATCCTTCAAATTCACAGCTGTGTCCTTCCATCTGTGTTCTAGAAGGCTAATGCAAGCAATAATTTTCTGATTTAGACAACTTAGAAATCTCGTGCTAGCATCAAGGAAGAGAGTGAAAATGAAACTCTTTATGAAAACAGAAGAAGAAGAGTAACAAGCAATGTCTTATGTCCAGTCCTACAAATCAAGGACTGAAAGATAATCTGCATTAAAACATTGGTGGCTTTAAACTGCTGTTTTCCACTCCACCTTCTGTTCAGTACAGACAAGGCTATAAATAGTCGCCTATCCCTTACAAATTTCATACACATGCACACAATTTATTCTCGGGAATTAGAAATAAATTAGAATATCCTGTATAATTGGACTGAGGTAGAGGAGATTTCTAGTTCACTTAGAATATGTAAGTGAATATTATAATTGAGTTGTATTTCACAGTTACACAGTTTGTAAGTGTTTGGATCATCTTCTATTTGTTCTTCTAGAACAAGCATTATCTTCCTTTTATTTTAGAATTCAGTTGTAAGATGCACGTGTTTAAAATGCACAAGGCTGCTCACAGAAAAGAAAAGAAAAGAAAAGAAAAGAAAAGAAAAGAAAAGAAAAGAAAAGAAAAAGAAATAGCCAAGTAACACAGCAGCAGCAATCTAATCCAAGATCCAGCAGGAAAAATAAAATCAATCATATGAAGCCTATCAGAATGCCAAAGTTTTAAAATCCCATCTAAAAATGAAACAAGTAAGGTTGATTCCTGCTTTCCTCTTCTGCTGCGTGGCTTAAATTCAGCCATGCAGAAGACGTCTGGGAACTCCTTCAGTAGGTTACAGATTAATATAGCAGGGCATCTGTGCAGTGTGGAACAAAGATTCAGCACTGCCTCTGCTGCTCTGATTCCTCCTGATTTGTCATCAGGCCCCCAATTTGATGCGGAGAGTCTAACTTCCTTCTCATGGATAGGGCTCAAGGATGGTCAGACCCATGCTGACTTTTAGGCACTTTGCCTCCAGTTCTGTGCCCTGCTTGCCTGCTGCCTCTGCTTCTGTGTTCCTGGAGACAATCTTGGGGGTGAAGAGTAGGGAAGGGAATGAGAGCAGTCAAGTGTCTTGCTTCCTATAAGTCATGGCCACCTCAGTGAACGTATTTTCCAGAGTAATGGCCTCTGGAGTGTTAACCATATCCACCACCTTTGTTATAGTAAGGGCAGTAGAACCACTTGTTCTGAGCTGATGTTCCTAGAAAGGTGGTGGGACATATCAAGGGCTTGGTAGTTTTTCTCAAGAGAAAGCTCCATAAGTTAACTTAGGAGAAGGCTTTATCCCTGCCATTGAATCTTTACTGGAGAAGTAAAAGTAAACTAAATGAAATCATAGTAGAGATGAAATTCAAACCCAATTCTCCCCATTTTGCAGCTAATTTCTTAGCTACTATATTATATCAGCTTTCACTAACCCATATGTGAAGTGAACAATAAAGGAGGGAAAACAGACATCTACGTGGCTTTGCCTGAATTTTGCGCAGATGAAGCTTCCTTTAAGAAAAGCAACAACAGAAATTCCATAACACTTTCAGAAAGTGCCAGGTCTTGAACAGGCTGAATTTTAGATCTAAAATGAAAAATATCAGTCTATACATAACATGAATATAACCCACCTGCAACCAGTCCGATGGTTTATTCTGTTTTAGTTTGTTTTCCAGATAGTTATATGTATGTTGCTCTTTCTCTATTCCTTTCTAGTCTGAATATTTGTTTTGTGATAAGAAGATTATTTTTTTCCTTTCTCCCACTCTTTATTATCTCTTCTGCTTTTTTTTTTTTTTGTTTGGTTTTGTTTCCTTCCTCCCCAAACCCCATTCCCTGTTTTAGGTTTCAGAGAAATTATGTTGAATCCAATAACCCTTCCTGGACATTCTAATCCTCTTAACCATCATGGCATTTATGTTGAGGATGTCAGTGTTTATTTCAGCAAAGGACGTCATGGCTTTTAAAAAGAACAAAAACAAAACTCTCACACAATCAACAGTGCAAAAAACCCGAAACGAAACAAAAACAACAACAAAAGTGAAAGACAAAAAAAAAAAATTAAATCAAAAAACCTCCTTGAAAGGTTCCTTGTTTCAATGTCAAGTTTGTTGGCTGTGCCCTTTGAGAGTTATGGGACACTCCACAAAAGCATGGTCTGTACACAGATCAAAGCCACCACCGTGTGGGATTGGACCTCAGTCTGCATCATGCTGAAAAAACCAAGGGGGTGTATCTTTTTTCTCCTGTCACCAGATCAAAGGAATGTTCTTCTCTTCTGTTGGTCCCTGTGTTCTTTTCCTCCATCGGTTACAGTGTTGCTGCAAGGCACAACAGGAGCAAAGCAGAGCAACAGATTATTTTTTGTTGGTTGTTGTTTTTGTTTAAGGAAAAAAAAAAAGATAAAGAACATCAAAGGATTCATCATAACAGGTGCACTTTGCTTTTTTATAAATATAAATAAGACCCAAGCAACTGATCCAAGTCCAGCAATTCTAGCTGTGGTCTTTTCTGCCTGGAATCCTTGTGACATCATAACATTGAATAAGGCCACCCACTCTCTCAGTTGCAGTAGTCAGGTTGTGGGAGAACGGTCCAAAGCAAGAAGAGATGAGACCACAGAAGATATTTTAACAGAGTGAAGACCCTTGGTAAGAAAAATGAAGGCAGCCTCCTCTGCCCCCACTTCTTCCCCCATCCCTCTATCCCATCTAGTCGTAAGCTATTGTACCAGAACCTATATGGAAAGCAATCATGGGAAAACCGGGCTATTCTACCCCAAAAAGATGATATTGGTGGCTTCGTTTTGAATACCAATTTTGTAGAAGGATCTTCTGTTTGTGTGTGTGTGTGTGTGTGTGTGTTTTGTGTGTTCGACCTGCTCTTCAGCTATCTCAGTGTTTCATTTTTGTACACCAGCCTCTTCCCTGCTGCTTGTATAATGGCTTTATCTGGGGATGGGAGGTGTATGTGTGTGTGTGTGGCATGGTGGGGAGGTAAGATGCTCCTGGACTTCACCCCTGGATGGATGAGGAGTGGTGTTGCAGATCTCAACAAGTTTAGGGACAAAAATGCAGAAGAAATCCACAAGGTTTTTTTCCTATCTCAGATCTGCAAACCAAGTCTTTTCTGCCTTTCTGGCTCATTTTTCCCCTCTTCCATCACTTTCCATTTCTTTCTCACCAAGTTAGAGATGTATTATAATTCAGTCATGCACACTGAATGTATAGTTGGCTCAAGGCATACAAACTAAGCAAAAGAGATTGGAATAAGACTCTTGTTACATGTTCTCTGGCATAAATACAAATATTGATTCTGGACTCAGATATATATATATATATTTGATATATATATATCAGAAATATATATATATTTCTTTTCTTGTTTCTCGCATCTTAACTCCATCTCAAAACCTCTGCAATGGAAGCAGGGGGAATGTCAGCCTTGATCTCCACCCTGAAGAGATATCTGTTCGCTTGTTTTTGTATTTTCTGATGAGCAGTTTCAATCTGAAATGGTGAATATTAGATAGCCTCCTTTAGAGTCTTGGTCCAATATACTTATAGGAATATATGCAAATGCAAAACTTGGGATAGCCAATATGTTTCCTGTGGACACTAACACATCCTCAGGCAACTTCCTTGGTGCTCCAAACTCTCTGCCCCCAATTATTATTATTATTATTATTATTATTATTATTATTATTATTATTTCATTGAAAATAAATAAATGTGAAGCTGGTATGCTGTAAAATAAAGTACTAGACTCCAGCAACATGTTTTTCTCCTTTCAGATCCTCTCTGAGTCTAATAACCACCTTAGAATGTAAACATGGTTTATTGTTGAAGCTTAATGCTTTATCTGGAAGAACACTTATCTCCCAGAAAGAAATAGGGAACAGCTTGGGGTAGGATTAAGGATTGGGACTGGAAGCAACCTTATAACTTTGTCTGTTGATGAATTGATGTTTAGTGACTGCCATGTTCATAATTTAAGCATAAGAAAATTCTCCATGAGAACCATTTTTTTTAATATCCCCCAGCATCCTCTCAATGTTAAAAAAGTTCCCACTGGCTCTGAAAACTGTGTGGAACTGTTATCTAGGACAAGAGGTAAGACAGGCTAGACCAACAATATTTGTTTAGATTTTTAGCTTGTTGCAGAGAATTATTTGTGCCATCAGATTTGCCAGATGTTTCTGCAGGGCTATATAGCTTCCAGAATGGCTTATCCTGATCACTTACTCCCTTGGAATAAGATAAATGAAGATTGAGGCATTAGGACTGAAGAACTTTAAGAGTAGGCATATTGTAGAGGCATTTTATTTTTGTGGGGTGTTCTTTCATGAAGATTCCTAGAAATGGCTGGAATATCTTCTGCAAATTACAGAAGAGGTTTATTCATAAAACTATCCTTTTATTTATTTTCTTGCTGGTTTGCTCAAATAATCAAGTCAAGTGCAAAAACCATAGATAGCTTTAACTGTATGGAAAGTAGCCACATCAAGCCTGAAATAGCAAATCATTTAAATAAGAACTGAAAACCAAAATTGTAATGTCACTATAGGTTTGCTTGTGTCAAAGCAGGGAATGTTGGAAATTAGCATAGGTATCTGGTCACTAGCTGGAGTTGCATATATATGAGATTTGTTTTGCTAGTTTTCAGCTTAGGTGTAAAGTTCATTCAAGGCCAGATTCTCTATCTTGGTCTTGATGCTATTTTTAAGGAATGCCATTATAACCCACAACAATCAAATTTGAGTTACTTGTTTTCCAGACTTTTGATAGGTGTACCCTACTTTTTCTTCTGAATGAAAACGGGAAGCACGCTTTGCTCCTACATTTCAAAAAGTTTTATTTCACTGTGTGTAATGTTAAGTTCTCTGCACCTCCAAAGCAGCCTATTAACACAGTTCAGTTTTGTTTTCTTTATGTATAGCCGACTGTTGTGTGTATTTAACAATTTTCTCATGGTACAGTGTTGAGGAGAAGTGACTTGAGCAACTGAGGAACTTGTGGTAATTCCTTAATTCTGAAAAGGGGTGGAATAAATAAGAACCAGGCCTTGTGCGCTCACAATTGGTGGCTTTAAGCTGCGAGTCTTAAGAAAAAGAGAGAGAGAGAAAGATGGTCTTCAATTTTAATTATTGTAATCATTACCTCATTATCCAATAAGATCCCTCCATTTCAAATCATTTTTTTTCCTCTTTCCATGTTCATCATCTTGTGCTATGAAAATGGGAATTTCCCCTTTCACAGAGACTCTAGAGGTCTTTGATGTCTAGTTTCTTAATAAACACTTTATTTTCTAATTAAACTGCTGCACTGACTCTTTTCTTTGGAAGACAAAAGAATCAATAAATTTCCCAACAATGTGTCATTTATTTTGTTGGAGCCGTTGGTAATCCAAATGTGTGTTTTAGGAAGAATGGAATTCCTTGAGATAGAGCACTCCTCTACCCTTTGCCTGGTTCATACATGCATCTATATTTCATTTTACAACTGGAGACTAGGTCTGTGAGCTGATTATACAGAAAATCCTTGCATATGAATTGTATGAGTGAAGCATAGCTGTAATCAACCAGCAGTGGATTTGATCATACCACTAAACTAATGAGTAATTTATGAAAATAGAAAAAGCTAATTCATTACCAAGTGTATGAAGATTCTAATCAATGTTGGTTGGAGATTGTCCTTGTTGGACAGGAAAAGGGAGCCCCCTGGAGGGCATTCTTGAGCGTCATAGGATAATGGAAGAATGCTGAGTACTAATCACCTAACACCTAACACCCTGATGGGGATATGCCCTAAGTATACTTTATTTAATAATCGTTTAAATATGGAATCATCGGGATTCATACAGCTTGCTAAACTGAAATCAGACAAGTGATATTATAACTTGGTGTGCATTCTGTGAATAAAGATTTTGTATCCTCTCACTAGGTAGGAATGGTCACTACCTCTTGAACTACTTCTCTTATTAAAAAATAAACAAAAAAGGCAGTTAGCCAATATTTTCAAATAGAATAATCTCCTCTTAGATTAGACAGATTGCGGTGAACTATTTTTAGAAGTCATGATAATGATAGTATATGGGCCAGTTCCTTGAAGATTATGATGACTTAAGTAATTTCCTTACATTATTAAGACCTTATTCAGCTATCTTTTGGATCCCACAGAGCCTCTGAAAAGACTCTTGCAGAAATGGATTAAACTGGATTCAGACATTCTGACAAGTGGAGTGTTAATGTGTCAGTTATGAAATAAATTCTCTCTAGAGAAATTTAGCTCTTGCAGTTGATTGCATATGCCCTTCATTAAAATATACTGTGTTAATGGTGACATATTTGAAGCATCATGGAGTGTTTACTTTGGTAGACCACACAGGTTTAGGGAAACAAGGACTGGAGAGGTTAAAGTGAAGTAGAATGTATGAGTGTAGAAGTCAGATGATGCATAATGCCTGCATATTTTAATAGACAACGTGCACCTTAACTTGAAATTTATGGATGCAGAAAATCACAAGAATGTCAGATTTCAATTTGATGTGACCTATTCAGGCTATCTTCTGAAGCAGCAAGAGGAGTAAGAAGTTGTCATGCAGGAAATCCAGGAAATCCAGTATGTAGTGGAGAGTGATGGAAGGAACCAGAATTGACAATGAGCAGAGCTCAGTACAATATACATAAGCCCATATAGAATATCAATAGAGGTATAGAATTCTGAGGCATTAAGACTTATATTGAGTGATACCTTGTTCCTTTCATTCTGCTAACTGCCTGTATGGTTGGAATCTATGCAGCTATGCAAATGTGCCTGATTTTCTTCCCTAGCATTCAAATAACAAATGTGGCTTTTGTTAATGCATCCTATTCCCTGATTACAATATTTTGCGCAGGAATCTAGATTGTCCTGTCCAAAATTTTACTTCCTAACTACCCCAACAGTGTTCAGCCTGACTTGTTCCCCTTTTGCCTTGAACTTCCATATCAGGAATAATTTGCCTCTCATT